GATGATTTCAAGTTGGTACTTGCATCAAAAGTTGGTCATCGTTTCCGATAATTTTTGTGCGGATGTTTGCCAGGTTTGGATAGAATCTCGCACGTAACAGCTTGACCCATATCTACGAATGGTAATCAGTGACAGCAGCAATCTTCAATAGATCCCCGCCAGCGGTAGCTTATAAAAAAGTGGTCGATTTGTTTCAGTTTTACAACCATCAACCATGCACTTTTGTGCGCCGGTTTTGGTTGCCCATTTGTGCCTATCACTAAAAAGAGTTGGTGTTTTGCATGTTCAGCAATGTCGTTTCAAGTGCGGGAAGTTGGTACGCACAGTTGAAGTAGGTGATCTCCGTTATCCGTCCGGTTGGTTGGGATTGTATGAGGGCTGTCTAGATACCTATCTGATTCACCCAGGAACCCTATTATAACGTTAAAGTGATTACTACAATATCCGCTGAGCGAAATACTGTGGAGCAGTTGAGAGGGATCATTCAAGAAGTCGTCTTCCATTTTCGGTACGACCAACCGATAGCGACGCTTTATTTTTACTATTGACCAGCACTGAACCGTCTAGCTGGTCAACCAATCGAGAAGCAAGCGTTCAGCTTTGGCAATTGGAGCAATCTCGACACCGATACCACTCAGGTCTGATCCAGAAACCAGTGGGGTGTAGATCGAAGGCAAGGAATTAAACGAAAGCCCTTTTTTAGCGGAGGGGTCTTCTACGGATTTGTCATGTACAGAATGGGAGTTTCAGTATGTTTTTTTTTGCTTGTTCGTTGGTTACCATCTTTAGGCTTTGATCATGAGTTTCATGCCCTCAGTAAGATGGGCAGAATGAGAACGGGACAGCACTATGCCGGTAGGGGGGCTATCTAACTTGGGCAGGTAGGCGCAGTTCAATGAGGTAAGAAACTTTCTCCCAGCATTTGGAAAACGCCCCGGGAACTCGCTCTTACATCTTTCTAGCGGGTGGGGATTTTGACCAATGAACTGCTCCATCCCGTGTTTGTTTGCTCGAGCCACCACTCCAGGGATGAAGGTAGACGGTTGAAGGAGAAGCTAGCTGTTACCCAATCAGCCGGCTTAGTGAGAATAAGTTTTATCTAGTCCCTGCCCGTTGACAGGTGTACTTGGATTTGAGGTTGTGAAGCCAATTTGTATATCTCGCTGTTTGGTAATGCCACGCAATCACACGAGCTCAATTTACAGTCTCATCTGTATTCCCGTGCAAAGATATCGCATGAAATATCGACAAAAATATAGGTTTGTATGAGGATTATCAATCCTTATGTTTAGACATTTAAATAGCGTTGCTGTGAGATTTGACCGTAGGATTGGTCAAACAAAATGATCATTGCATGTGTGAAACAAACGAAGACTAGCGACCATTTAATTATAGAAGGAACACAGCATTCTGGTAACTCCTTTCATTAATGCGTGCGTAATATTGCGATGAGGTATGCAAACGAAGTAGAACATATTAAGTGTGGGCACCAAGTGAGATCAGTCAGTCATATAGGTAACGACGAATTACTCAGTGCGGACAGATGGATAAACAATTCTGACTGAACAGAGTAAATCGATCTTAAAATAGACGAAGCCAGTGTAATGAGTAGACGCGGTAGCAGTCAATATTGATCGATCAATCAATCAATAGCGACATAGATACGTGCAGTCAATGGTAATGCACATCTGTCTACGCAGTTTATTCAAGGGGTAAAGAAATTGGGTGATATGATGTACTTTTGAAAAGTGATATTTGAGCATCCATTCACTTTCTGCACATGTTTAGCTTATCCTTATTTCGTGTCTTCATTTCAATATTGTCCTCTCACGTCTTCATTGAATTGTGCGTACGCACTTAGCGTATACGTTTAAGCTCTCCTGGCTCACCCCACATAAAAATCAAACACCCCGACGAGCCGGGACG